ACCAAGACATAATGAGATGCCATTTTACATCCATTCCACCAGGAAAATGTTTTCAGTCTGGCAGTACCCCGTGCTGGTACTGAGTCTCTTACACACTGCTGGTGGGATTGTCAGTACAATACTTAAGAAAACTGTTTGGCACTGTCTCATGAAGCCAAACATTCACATGCCCTATGGTGAGCCCTTGCACTCCTTGCTCACTCATCAGAGAAGGAGGAACAAGAATTCACAGTGACAGTATTCACAGTAGCAAAAACCCAGAGACAGTCCAAATGCCTTGAGAAGAGAATGAACAAATAACCAGCAGCATACTCACCAAAAGAGTGCTACACAGCAATGGAATGAATGGACTCTAGAGACATGCAGCAGGGTGGGTGGCTCTTAGACTGTGATGTGAAGGGAGAAAAAGCCCAGAAAGGTTACATGCATCAAAGCACCCTTTAATAAAGCAAAAAACAGACACAATAAATTATAAATACACTCGATGAATAGATTTAGACGTGATAAACCTATACTGAAAAAAAGGAAGCCAGAGAATGATAATACATGAGTCGAGATAGTGAGGACTTTGCATGGAAGGCAACATAGGTTAAATGATAAAGATGCTTATTACGTTAAAAAGAAAACAAAGACAAGATCTCCCATGGAGCATTTTTATTCCAGAGCTGATTGAGATGCTATTCAAACTGTTAAATATATCTAATTTCAAAAAAAAAAAAAAATACCAGGCAGAGAAACATGTTCAAAAGAACCAAAGGGAAGTTCAGGAAATTCACCAATCAGGAAAATCTAAGACGCAGGAAACTCCACAGGAAAAGTAACTCAGTCTAAAATTACCAAACAACAACAACAAAAAATTAGATTCAAAAAGAGGGTGCAGGCCAGGCACAGTGGCTCACACTTGTAATCCCAGCATTTGGGAGACTGAGGCTGGACAATCACTTGGGGCCGGGAGTTCTCAGTCAGCCTAGACAACATAGCAAGACCGCATCTCTACAAAAAAGAAAAAGAAAAAAAAAAAAAAAAGAGTGTGGGGAAACCAATGGGTTAAGAAAGACATGGCACCGGTGCAGTGGTTCACACCAGCACTTTGGAAGACTTAGGCAGGTGGATCACTTGAGGTCAGGAGTTCGAGACCAGCCTGGCCAACATGGTGAAACCCTGTTCTACTAAAAATTAAACAGGCGTGGTGGCATGCACCTGTAATCCCAGCTACTCGGGAGGGTGAGGCAGGAGAATCGCTTGAACGCTGGAGGCAGAGGTTGCAGTGAGCCGAGATCACGCCACTGTACTCTAGCCTAGGTGACAGAGCAAGACTCTGTCTCAAAAAAGAAAAAGAGAAAGAGAGACATGGTAACCAAATGCACCATGCAGACCTTCTTTGCCTCCTGATTTCAGCAAATTAGTATAAAAACCACTACGAGACAGTTGATATCTCAACACTGATGATGGGGGAGACTATGAAATTATTCATTTTTAAATTTGATAATGGAATTGTGATTTTTCAAGTTCCTTATTTTTTAGAAACATGTATAGTACTAAAATTTTTGTTAAGTTCCAGTAATATTTGTTCTGTACTTTTCTCATACATGGTTGTAGCTTGTATACTGATCTCACACACACACACACACACACACACACACACACACACAGCTTTCTATCCAACAGGACTGTATTTCCAAAGCACAGACAATTCCTCTGCAGGCCTCAACATGGTGATTTGAATATTGAGCATACTGCTTTGAGAGTACTGAATTATATGCTGAATTTATAAAAATAAAAAACAGGAGGGGTGCAGTGGCTCACACCTGTAATCCCAACACTTTGGGAGGCTAAGGCGGGCAGATCACAAGATCAGGTGTTCAAAACCAGCCAGGCCAACATAGTGAAACCCCCATCTCTAATAAAAATACAACAAATTAGCTGGGCGTGGTGGCAGGTGCCTGTAATCCCAGCTACTCGGGAGGCTGAGGCAGGAGAATTGCTTGAACCCAGGAGGCAGAGGTTGCAATAAGCTAAGATCACCCCATTGTACTCCAGCCCAGGCAACAGCACAAGACTCTGTCTCAAAAATAATAAAAATAAAATAAAATATAAAATAAAAAACACACAAATAAAGGGTCAAGCATGGTACAATGATAAGAATTATACCTTGAGCCAAGGATTATACATTTTCATACGACTGGTTTTTTTGTTGTTTTTTGTTGTTTTTGTTTTTGTTTTTGTTTTGGAGACAGACTCATACTCTGTCGCCCAGGCTGGAGTGCATGGTGCAATTTCCGCTCACTGCAACCTCCACCTCCTGGCCTCAGGTGACTCTCCTTTCTCAGCCTCCTGCGTAGCTGGGATTGCAGGCATGCACCACCATGCTCAGCTAATTTTTGCATTTTCAACGGAGACAGGGTTTCACCATGTTGGCTAGGCTGGTCTCGACTCCTGACCTCAGGTGATCCACCCACCTCGGCCTCCCAAATTGCTGAGATTACAGGCTTGAGCCACCATACCCGTCCTCATACAACTTTTTATGCCAAAGTATAAACACAAAGTTCCAGGGAAGAAAGAGCAGGTATGCAAAGAAAGATGTCGTAACTATTATACTTGTAAGGGGACCTTCCTTGGGAAAGAAGGTGCAGGTACCACCAGCCAGGCTGAATCCCTCTGACACACACTCCCAGCACCACAGGAGTTAACTTATTGTGTATATTGTCACCTATGCACTGTCTGATTCCCCTGCCAGGCTGTAAGCCCCGCTCTGGAGGCGCTCACGTGGCCAGACTTGGAAAGTAGTTGAAAGCCTAAAGGAAGAAACTGCAGTATCATCCAGAGAAGGAACAGCACAGACCACAAAGAGAGTCGAACATCCCGGTGCCCAAGTCAGGAATGCCAACTAGAGATCAGCCAAAGCAGAGAGCCTGGTGGAGGGCATGGCAGTGGACTGGAACCATAATCTCCTCTTCTGAGGAGCCGATGAAGGGAGTGGAGAGCGGGTGAGAGCCAGCATGCAACAGGAAGATAGGGACTGGACGTGCAGAGTAACAGGGATGCAGCAGCTGCCCGCTCTGTAACCCGGGGGCCTGGTCTTTTCTCAGTGCAGTAGGATGTGGGCTACCACAGGAATGCGAGCAATGCTAGTCTGTCAGACTACAGAACTCAGCATTCCTCAGCCCCTTTGGGAGGCCTACTCAAACCAGCGGATATAACCACATTTAACGATGGAATGAAGCTCCGTCAAGCACATCCATGGTGCCTGGGCACCTGGAGGAAGGAGAGAGGGAGAGAGAGGTTCCCTAGGCTGACAGAGAGATAACGGGCAGGAAGAGCCACAAAGCAGAGTTGATTTTCAAGACCCCTCTAACTGACTCTTGAAGAGCTGGATAGGATGGGAAGGGAAGGAAAAACATATTGAGTGCCAGTTAGGCACTTCAAGGCATACAAGGAAAATTTCCTGCCAGGAAGAGGGGCTGCACAAAGGTCAAGAGATGGAAAGAAGCTGGGCGCAGTGCCTCGTGCCTGTAATCCCTGCACTTTGGAAGGCTGAGGTGAGTGGATGATTTGAGGTCAGGAGTTCGAGACCAGCCTGGACAACATGGTGAAACCCTACCTCTACTAAAAATACAAAAATTAGCCGTGCATGGTGGCGGACTCCTACAGTCCCACCTACTTGGGAGGCCGAGGCAGGAGAATCAATTGAACTCAGGAGGCAGAGGTTGCAGTGAGCTGAGATTGTGTCACTCCAGCCCAGGTGTCAGAGAGAGGTTCCGTCTCAAAAAAAAAAAAAAAAAGAGAGAGAGAGAGAGGTGAGAAGATACAATGGAGAGAGGAAGATACAATGATGTCTGATTTTCTTTCTCCTCTCAAAGATGCCCATTAAAGGTGCTGGAGGCCCTGGGCTGGGTTCCACAGGCTAGGAGGAATGTTTTATGTATTCCTGTTCCCCTGTTAATTTAGAAAAACCCACTGTCAATGAACTGTTTCTACTTTTAGGAATTTACCCCAGAGCTGTAACCTCAACATATATTCACAATGCTCAAAAAGAGGAAACCAAGTGTCCAACCACTAGAGTTAGATTGGTTAAAATACTATATACTCATCAAAAAGCACGTTGTCAAAGATCAGCTAATGGCACAGAAAGAACTACACCCCATATAAATGGAAAAAAGCAGATTACAAAACAATATAATTCCAATGTCATGAAAAAAGTGTAAGGTTTTTTTTCTTTTTTTCTTTTGAGAGGGAGTTTTGCTCTGTTGCCCAGGCTGGAGTACAATAGCACAATTTCAGCTCACTGCAACCTCTGCCTCCCAGGTTCAAGTGGTTCTCCTGCCTCAGCCTCCTGAGCAGCTGGGATTACAGGCATGTGCCACCATGCCCAGCTAATTTTCTATTTTTTTTTTTTTTTTGAGGCGGAGTTTCACCCTTGTTACCCAGGCTGGAGTGCGATCTCAGCTCACCGCAACCTCCGCCTCCTGGGTTCAGGCAATTCTCCTGCCTCAGCCTCCTGAGTAGCTGGGATTACAGGCACGCGCCACCATGCCCAGCTAATTTTTTGTATTTTTAGTAGAGACAGGGTTTCATCATGTTGACCAGGATGGTCTCGATCTCTTGACCTCGTGATCCACCCGCCTCGGCCTCCCAAAGTGCTGGGATTACAGGTTTGAGCCACCGCGCCCGGCGCTAATTTTCTATTTTTAGCAGAGATGGGGTTTCACCATGTTGGTCAGGCTGGTCTCCAACTCCTGACCTCAGATGATCCACCCACCTCAGCCTCCCAAAGTGCTGGGATCACAGTTGTGAGCCACTGCGTCTGGCCCCAGTTTTTTAAATATATAATGTTCAAAGAGTCATTCTCTGTGTGGTAGGATTATGAGTGATAACTGTCATCCTTATTGTCTCTTATCGACTAAATATGTTTGACTTTTTAAAAACTAGACAAAAACACAACAAATGTTATAGAAATACACACACAAAATTGAAAACATGCCCACATGGGGTAAGCTTACCTTCTGCAGGATGGGGGCAGGGCAGATGTTGTCAAACAGGACTGAGTTGAAGATCCCATACACACCCTCATCAAGCTGGTACACGATGGTCTTGGGGGCAGAACTGTTTTCCCCTGCAGGAGGGGAGGGGTCAGGGGCAGCACAAGTAGCAATGTGAGGGGGGTGGTAGTGGGGCTGGCACAGCAGTGGGCTCTGCAAGGAAGCAAAGTGGCTGCCCATTTCTCAACCATGAGGTGGGGCCTGCCACAAAAGCCACCAGCGGCCACCCTCCCAATGACATGGGTTCACTGCCGTGTTGGTAACACTCACCCTTGCAGCCAAGCAACCCTGCCCAGGAAGCACTCCCCTGCCTGCCTCTGAGCCCCTAAATGCCCCAGGAAAGAAGAACAGCCCACCCAAACTCAAGACCCCAAAAGGTTAAGACACTTGTTCAGAGGCCCATGATAGGGCACTGGATGAGCCAGAATGGGAAGCCAGGTCTCTTGGTCAGATTAGATAGGACAATCCCCCAGGTCTATAAAGGAAGCCAGAAGAATGCCACATATATAAACAGGACATTCTACCTGGAGCCCACCACCCTTCCACATGAATTCTCTCTGGGGAGCAGTGCACGGTTCTGAGGCTTTCCTGCCTGAGGGTCCCAGAGCAGAGGGCAAAGTCTCAAGATCAGAGTCCCTGACAGCTGTTACCCACAGGCGGCTGTCCCGGACTTATCTGGAAGGGCAGGGAAGAGCATTGATGGTGGTGATGTGGGGGGCCCAGAAGCTCTGAGTCAGCCTCACCTGAACTTCAGTCCCAGCCCTGCCCCTTATCAGCCATGTGACCTTGGGCTAATGACTCAGCCTCCCCCTGCCTATGTTGTCATCTCTAAAGTAGACTCAAACAAATATAAGCTGTCATTAATTATTTTCATTACATGATGAGAAACAGTAGGGTGAGTAGGAGCCTGTACTTTGGAGTGGAGACAAACATGGGGTCAAATGCAGGCTCTTACTAGCTATTAAGCAATTCACTTGTATTCTCTCTGGTTCTCAGTTTCCTCATCTGTAAAATGGGGTCCACAGAGTATCTATTCTCTCTAAGGTTGTTTTGCTCTCAATCTTCACAAAATATGAACATGCCTAGGAAAAAAGATGCTAAATAAATGTGTTGAGGTGGGGTGACATGATTGTAAGTTTCCCTATAGCAAGAACCCATTCTCCAGATCCCCCATCCTCTGCCACTGGATCTAAAACCAGATCCTGGTCAGCCAACCACCGTCCCCACCTTCAGGGGAGAACAGGGCTCCACTGCCCTCCTGGCACCTACCCTCCCTGCCAGGCTGGTCCAGAAGAACCTCTTTCTTGGCAACAATGCTGACTGCCACAGTGAAGGCCGAGGTTACATAGTAACGCCCCAGTTCAGCAAGGATGTCCACGCCACAGCCCTCTGGGAAGTACAGGTCCAAGGCGGAGTTGATCACAGAAGCAATCTGGTAGGAGGAGAACAGGGAGACAATTATGTGTTTGAAATGTAGGCTTTATGCTGAAGACTTGTTACAGCTCCAACTCTATTTCTTGAAAGCTGCTTTCATTTCCGGAAGAAGGATTTGGCAGCTGCTAAGGCCCCAGCTGGTAACTGTGGACAGCTGGCCAAGAAGGTAGGAGGGGGACAGAGCTGGGTAGAGAGCCTCATGCTTCTGTAAATCACCCCCTCCATGGCCCCACAATGGGAAGGGGTACTCTTTATATCACACTTGGTACTCAGATTCCAGAAGCCCTGATGTGGATCTTTCTTTCATAAATAACCCGTTTGTTAAATACAGTTGACCCCTGACAAACAGAGGTTTGAACTGTGTGGGTCCACTTATGCATGGATTTTCTTCTGCCTCTGCCACCCCTGAGACAGCAAGACCAAGCCCTCCACTTCCTTCTCTTCTTCCTCAGCTTACTCAGCTTGAAGGCAATGAAGATAAAGACGTTTATGATGATCCACTTCCACTTAGTGAATAGTAAATACATTTTCCCTTCCTTATGATTTTTTTAATCGCATTTTATTTCTGGCTGGGCATACTGGCTCATGCCTATAATCCCAGAACTTTGGGAGGCTGAGGTGGGCAGATCACTTGAGGTCAGAAGTTTGAGACCAGCCTGGCCAAGATGGTGAAACCCTGCCTCTACTAAAAACACAAAAAATAGCTGGGCATGGTGGCATGTGCCTGTACTCCCAGCTACTTGGGAGGCTGAGACATGAGAATCACTTGAACCCAGAAGGCGGAGGTTGCAGTGAGCCAAGATCATGCCACTGCACTCCTGCCTGGGTGACAGAGAGAGAGACCCTGTCTTAAAAAAAAAAAAAAGAGATTGTATTTCCTCTAGCTTACTTTATTGTAAGAATACAATAAAGTAAGTATGGTATTGGCCGGGTGCAGTGGCTCACACCTATAACCACAACACTTTGGAGGGCTGAGGCAGGTGGATCACCCGAGGTCAGGAGTTTGAGACCAGCCTGGCCAACCTGATGAAACTCTGTCTCTACTAAAAATACAAAAATTAGTTGGGCATGGTGGTGGGCGCCTGTAATCCCAGCTACTCGGGAGGCTGAGACAGGAGAATCGCTTGAACTAGGGAGGTGGAGGTTGCAGTGAGCCGAGATCATGCCATTGCGTTCCAGCCTGGGTGACAGAGTGAGACTCCATCTTAAAAAAAAAAAAAAAAAAAAAAAAAGACAGAAAAAGAAAGAATACAGTATATAAAAATGTCACACACAAAATATCTGTTAATCAATTGTTGGTTATTAATAAGGCTTCCTGTCAACAATAGGCTATTAGTAGCTAAGCTTTGGGGGAATCAAAAGTTACATGCAGATTTTTAAATGTGTAGGGTGTCGGTGCCCCTAAGCCTGTGTTGTTCAAGGGTCAATTGTTATACTCTTGATTACAGAAAATTGAGAATACAGAAAAGGAAAAAGAAGATTAAAAAGTCACTTCTAATTCTATCACCTAGATGAATCTAATTATTGTTAACTTTTTGCAGTAGTGTCTTTAACTATTTGTTATACAAATGCTATTTTTTATTATAAGCATCATAAGTCTCTGTATGTTTGTATAACCTGTTTTACTTAATAGACTGTGAATGACATTCCCACATTGAGTAAAGGTTCTCATCAAAAGAATGTACCATAATTTAACCACTCTTGAGTATTAGACGGACCAGGGAAGTCCACTGGTCTTCTGTTATGAACAAAGCTAAAACAGCCATCTTGGAGGCAAATTATTTCTGCGGGGTCAATTCCTAGATGTCGGTATTCCCGAAGAAGGTGCCTTCCAGGAAGAGGCGTCCTCTAGTGGTTGGAGTGGGAACTGCTAGGACACAGTTTTCTTGACTTCACCTCACAGTGAAAGGGAATGGAGAAGACCCAGGGAGTGGACCAAATGTTGGTTTTCCTTTCCCTGCCTTCTTACCCGATTTCTCATCAGCCCATCTGAGTGTGAATAGGCCTATCCAGCCCCTTAAAGAGCCTTATGACTTATGTAAATATGTCCTGGTTATGCCTCAAACTGGCTGGGGAAGTGCATGGCAGGCAGAACTGGGTTTTTGCTTTGGGCTCAGAAAGTGACGTAACCTCTTTGAGCCTCGGCTTGCTCAGCTGTAGCACAGGGTCAATAAGCAGTGAGATCACCTAGGTAAGCACCAAGCATTGCATGTGGTGCATAGGACCATGCACAGTGGTCTTCCTCCGATCATCTCACCCCTCCCTATCCCCCCCAAATAGAACCCAGCATGATACTACCAGCTCCAGGGTTACCTCTTCAAATCTCACTTTGGCCCCTTCTGTGCCAGGGAAGCCGCCACCAAGGTCCAGGACGTGCATCCTGTGACCCAGCTCGGTGCCCATTTCAAACACGAGCCGGGCATCTGCGATGGACTGAGCGTAGGCCTGAGGATCAGGACAGCCACTGCCAACATGAAAACTGGGAAGGGAGGAAGAGCCTCAGCTGACATGCAGGGCTCTGAATGCCACCACCTGAGCCCCAGCCAAGAGTGACGTTGGGCAGGCACATAAGACACTGTGCCCATTTTGCAGATGTGGTGACTGAGGGCCTGAAATGTTAAATGGGTTGCCAAGGGCATATGGCAAGGGAGGACTGAACAGGAGGCTCAATCCAAGGTCTCCTGGCACTTGGTGCTCCTCCCATCCCTCCTTCTGGGATGAGAGCCAGGGCCCCTAAGTCAACCAGATCTAGCTGTGCTCCCAGTCAGCAGGGTGGCCTTGGCAGCTTACTCAGCTTTGTTTTAGTTTCCCTACCTATAATATGGACACAAGACCCACACCACACAAGGCTGTGAGATAATGCTCGTGAAGCACTTAGCATAGCACCTGGCACATCCTAAGTACAGAATAAACGAAGCCCTATATTAGGTAGTTCGTTGTTCATTCGGTAGATCATTATTACTCCTTCCATATCCCTGTAAGAAAAGAGGCACACAGCTGGGTGCAGTGGCTCATACATGTAATCCCAGCATTTGGGGAGGCTAAGGCAAGAGGATTGCTTGAACCCAGGAGTTTGAGACCAGCCTGGGCAACAGAGTGAGATCCCATCTCTCTCTCTTTTTTTTTAGATGGAGTCTTACTCTGTCGCCCAGGCTGGAGTGCAATGGCACGATCTCAGCTCACTGCAACCTTTGCCTCCCAGATATAAGCAATTCTCTCACCTCAGCCTCCCGAGTAGCAGGGATTACATCATGCCCAGCTAATTTGTTTTTTTGATTGTTTGTTTGTTTGTTTTTGTATTTTTGTAGAGACGGGGTTTCATCATGTTGACCAGGTTGGTCTCAAACTCCTGACCTCAGGTGATCTGCCTGCCTCAGTCTCCCAAAGTGCTGGAATTACGGGCGTGAGCCACCATGCCTGGCCATGACCCTATCTCTACAATAAATAAAAATTAATCAGATGCGGTGACACACACTGTGGTCACAGATACTTTGGGAGGCTGAGGCAGGAGAGAGAATTGCTTGAGTCTGCGAGGTAGGTCAAGGCTGCAGAAAACCATGATCATGCCACTGCACTCCAGCCAAGGTGACAGAGTAAGACCCTATCTCTCTCTCTCTCTCTCTCTCTCTCTCTCTCTCTCTCTCTCTCTCTCTCTCTCTCTCTTTCAGATAGAGTCTCCCTCTGTAGCCCAGGCTGGAGTGCAGTGGCATGATGTCAGCTCAATGTAACCTCCTTCTCCTGGGTTCCTGTTCAAGCAATTCTCCTGCCACAACCTCCTGAGTAGCTGGGATTACAGGCATGCCACCATGCCCAGCTAACTTTTTTTTGTATTTTTAGTAAAGATGGGGTTTCACCATGTTGGCCAGGCTGGTCTTGAACTCCTGACCTCATGATCCACCTGCTTCAGCTCCCAAAGTGCTGGGATTACAGGCATGAGCCACCGTGCCTGGCCTGAGACCCTGTCTCAAAAAGAAAAGAAAAGAGGCTTCTCAAGAGTGGAGCTGCACGACCTTTGTCCTACAGGCTGGTAAAACACCCTCGAAGCCAGGTCCCTGGATGGAACTTCCTGGGATGAGACCTTCTGGGGACCCTGGGGTTGGGGAAGGGGCCATTCCAAATTTCCTTTTCAAACAGAGGAAATTCTCAAATGGCAGAATTCCAGGCCCAGGGACAGGCCCTGCTGGGAGGCCCTGGGGAAGGTCTCATGTAAAATTAAATTCCTGGGAAACAGCCAGGAGCCTGGTGTGGGTGGGGACAGTAGGGGTTTTCCCAGTGCTCACCTCACACCCACCACCTCCACATGGCTCTTCTTGGCACTTTCAAGCAGGTGTCTGCAGGATTTCAGTGGCACTCCAAACTTCAGGCTCAGGCGACTCAGGGAGTGGGAGTCATCGTTAGCAATGCACAGAACCATCCTGATGAGACACGCAGTGTCCCTCTGCTGGACAAACCCTGTCGCCCCACCCCAGCCACATCTCTCAATCAAGGGCTGTGAACTATGTGGCTCAGAGCCACCCACCCCCACAGGCTCCCTGACCCCTCCCTCTCCCTACACAGCCAATCAACCTGCAAGTCCTGTCTATTCCATTCCCTAAATGTCCCAGGACTCATCCCTGCAGCCCCTGCCCTGGTCGAGACCTCACCAACCTTTCCTGGGGCAGCTCCAGTTCCTCCAAATCAGTCTCCACATCAGTCAGAGCTTTCAAACTTGTCATGTATGAGAAGAATCATTTTTAAACAAAGCCTTAAGGAGAACCCATTAATATCATGACGGAAGCTGCTTTGGATGGACTAGAGTGGCCCATCACCTGGCCCCGCCCCTCGCCCCAAGGTCCCTCCTTAGAAGTCCAAGGCTGTCCAGTAATCGTGTAAAAGGCACAGCCAGAGCAAAGCATCCACCCTGACCCCTTCCAAAGTCCATTTGCATTGGGTCCCTGCCCCCAACCAGTATCTCCTTCACCCTCCGCACAGAACATGCTGCATCCACACCAAGTTTCTGCTTACCCTTGAACACCTCATGCTGTTTGCCATCTCAATGCATTTGCTTATGCAGTTCACTCTTTTTGCCCTCTTCAAATTCTTTTCATTCCTCAAGGCCCACTTCAAATGCCACTTCCTTCTTGAAGCTTTCTTGACTACCCCCTCGGCTCTCTCAAGCCTGGGACTTTGGCCTCCATAATACCGTGGGTCTTACTCTACCTGGGGCTTTAACCAGTTATTTCTGCTTTTGTTCTAGCTAGATCCTAGCATCCTGGGTCCAGTCCAGGAGTACCTGGCCCAACCTCCTGCGTGACTGTGGCTGGGTCCAGGACAAGGTGACCTGCCCCAGCTCCACTCTCTCACCCCGCAGCCCAGCCTCCCCATGAGTGGCTCTCAGCTTACTTGGCACTGGGGTGGCTCTTTACCACCTTTGCCAGCTCCATCTCATTGTCAAAGCTCAGCAGCTGGATCCCATGCTTGGCAGCATACTTGAGCTGTACAATTTGCTTACAGGGGTTGGCGTAGATGATCTTACTGGCAGGGATTCCAATATGCTGGACCAACTCCATCTCTGCCTGTGGGGACCCAAAGGTGTTGGTAAGGAGGCCCAAGGGCCGGCTGGCCCACGGAGCCCAAGGAAGCACAGATGAGGGCAAAGTCATGGCTATGCATAAGGAGGCCCCTAACAGGTGGGCCTTGCTCTAACACAACAGATACATGGAAATCAGGACTTACATGGTTTCACCATTCTTTGATGAACAGGGCTGCCATGTACAGCCATGCAGGTGGTGCACTGCACAATCCTGGGGGGTGGGGGGTTCCCATTCAGAATGAATACAGGGTAGATTTGTATATTTATTACAACTTCCCGGCAGTAAAGCACCTCATTCTAAGAAAATCAGCATATTTATAATAACAATTAACGTGTCTTGAGGAAAGGGTATGTTTTTCTAATTTACATAAAGGCATTATATAGACTCATGGTACCCCTGACAACAGGCTTCTGACACATTTTCCTGGCAAATTTAAATGTTTAAATATTACTTGGAAAACAGTATGAAGGTTCTTCAAAAAACTAAAAATAGGACAGGGTGCAGTGGCTCACGCCTGTAATCCCAACACTTTGGGAGGCCGAGGCAGGCAGATCACTTGAGACCAGGAGTTTGAGACCAGCCAGGGCAACATGGCAAAAACCCTGTCTCTACTAAAAATACAAAAATTAGCCAGGCACGGTGTTGCGCGCCTGTAGTTCCAGCTACTCAGGAGGCTGAGGCAGGAGAATTGCTTGAACCCAGGAGGCGGAGGCTGGAGTGAGCTGAGATCATGCCACTGCACTCCAGCCTGGACGACAGGGCCAGACTCCATCTCAAAAAATAGAACTACCAACTATCATATGATCCAGCAATCCAATACTGGGTATACATCCAAAAGAAAAGAAATCGACGCAGTAGAGGAGACAGGCTGCACTCACACGTTCACTGCAGCATTATCCACAATAGCCAAGGTATGCAAGCAACCTAAGTGTCCCTCAGCCGATGAACAGACAAAGATAATGCAGGCCACATACGTAATGGAATACTGTGTGAGCCACATACACCGCAGGATATTATTTAGCCTCAAAAAAGCAGGAAATCCTATCATTTGCAACAAGAGGGATGAACCTGAAGGACATGATGTTAAATGAAATAAGCCAGGCACAAAAAGACAAACATGCATGGTCTCACTTAGCAAATGTGGAATCTAAGAAGGTCCAACTCAGGGCCAGACGTGGTGGCTCACACCTGTAATCCCAGCACTTTGGGGGGGGCCAAGGTGGGTGGATTACGAGGTCAGTAAGATCGAGACCATCCTGGTCAACATAGGTGAAATCCCACCTCTACTAAAACTACAAAAATTAACTGGGTGTGGTGGCGCATGCCTATAGTCCCAGCTACTTGGCAGCTGAGGCAGGAGAATCACTTGAACCTGGGAGGCAGAGGTTGCAGTGAGCCAAGATCATGCCACTGCATGCCAGCCTGGTTGACAGAGCGAGACTCTGTCTCAAAAACAAAAAAAGAAAGTCAAACTCAGAGAAGCAGCATAGAATAGCAGTTGCCAAGGACTGGGGTCAGTGGTGAGAGGGCAGTGGGAAGAAGTTGGTCAAAGGATACAAAGTTTTAGTCAGGAGAATTAAGTTCAAGAAATCTAATGTACATCATGATAACTATAGTTAATAACAATATATGGTATATTTGGAAATTTCTAAGAGAATAGACCTTTGGTGTTCTCACCACAAAAAAAAAAAAGTATGTGAGTTAATGCCTAATTAGTTTGTTAACCATTCCACAACATATACATATATCAAAACATCATTTTGTACGCCATAAACATATACAACTTTTTTTTTTTTTTTTTTTTTTTGAGACAGAGTCTCGCTCTGTCACCCAGGCTGGAGTGCCGTGGCATGATCTTGGCTCAATGCAACCTCCGTCTCCTGGGTTCAAGCAATTCTCCTACCTTGGCCTCCCAAGTGTCTGGGATTACAGGTACCTGCCACCATGCCCAGCTAATTTTTGCATTTTTCGTAGAGATGGAGTTTCACCACATTGGCCAGGTTGATCTCGAACTCCTGACCTCAGGTAATTCACCCACCTTGGCCTCCCTAAGTGCTGGGATTACAGGCATGAGCCACCACGCCCGGACTCTGTATGCAATTTTTATTTGTCAACTTAATAAACAATAAGAATATTGCTGGTGTATTAGAAAGTCCACCAAACCAAGGGTCTTTTGGACAAAGATCACACAACTCCAAAGGCCTACCCTGTGTGCGGCCCTATGCTGGGTGTGCAGGATGTGCCGGCTCAGCCCTGCTCCTCTTGGGGCCTGCTCCTCATCCCCTTTACAGAACATGGGGTACCTGATTACTGCATTAATAATATGAACAAATGATGATGATGATCATGATGACAGCAACTGTGTTCATCAGCACCTGCCACAAGCAGGCCCTGAATTATATGTTTTACATCAGGTGTTAGCAAACTTTTTCTATAAAGAACCAGAATAAATATTTTAGGCTTTGTGAGCCACACAGTCTTTGTCGCAATTTCTCTCTCTCTCTCTCTTTTTTTTTGAGACGGAGTTTCGCTCGTTGCCCAGGCCGGAGTGCAATGGCACAATCTTGGCTTACTGCAACCTCTGCCTCCTGGGTTCAAGCAATTCTCCTGCCGCAGGCTCCCAAGTAGCTGAGATTATAGGCACGTGCCACAATGCCCAGCTAATTTTTGCAATTTTAGTAGAGACAGGGTTTCACCACATTGGTCAGACTGGTCTCGAACTCCTGGCCTCAGGTGATCCACATGCCTCGGCCTCCCAAAGTGCTGGGATTATAGGTGTGAGCCACCGCACCCAGCTCTGTTGCAACTTCTCAACTGCCTTTGTAGCACCAGAACAGCCACAGCCAACACCAAGTTGAATGAATGTGACTATGAGCCAAGAAAACTTCATAAAATCAGCTGGTGGGCTGGATTTGGCCCTCCATCCATAGTTTGCCAACCCCTGCTTTGGATTCACCCTTTTATTCAGTCCTTGCAAATAACCCATTCAAATGGGTATTAGCTCCAGTCTACAGAAAAGGAAACCGATGCTCAGAAGGGCTAGGCAGCAAGTAGGTGGCAGAACAAACTTTGGAACTCAAGTCTGACTCTCCCCGAATAAATAAGAGAAGCCAGTTTTGAAACATGGTGAGAGATATAAGAGCCATTTTTAGCCATCCTGAGTTTGTAATGAGTCTAATTTTAATTTAGCAACTTTTCAGCACTGGGTATTTATAAGCATTATTTCATATCATCCCAATGACTATGCTATGAAATATTTACTGGCTACATTTTATGGAGGACAAAATTGAGTTCAGCGAGGTCCACCTGTCTGTGGTGGCACAGCCAACCAGTAGCAGAGTGGGACACAAAGGTCAAGCTCCAGAGCTGGGCTTGCTGCTACCACAGCTGGCTTCCCAGGGGCAGATGTGGCCCACCCTGAATCAGAGTGGATGTAGACCTGTGTTTTTGTTCCCTGCCTCAGCACATGATGTGAAAGCAAGAATCAGTGTTAGCATTTTGGGGACCTATGATTGAGCTTCAATTATAAAATTTTTTTATTTTAAATATATATATATATATATATATATATATATATATATATATATATACATACACACACACACACACACACACACACACACATATATATAAAAACAATTTTTTCTAAATGGAGATGGGTCTCACTATGTTGCCCAGGCTGGTTTCAAACTCCTGGGCTCAAGCAGTCCTCCTGCCTTGGTCTCCCAAAATGCTGGGATTACAGGTGGGAGCCATGGCACTCAGCCTAAATATACATATTTAAATAAGTGTTATCATTCACTGAAGGCATATCCTATGCCAGTCATTGCATGAAGTATTTTATATATATTCTCATTTAACCTTACTAAGAATCTTATAAGGTAGGGAACAGAGGTTCAGAGAGGCTACGTGATTTGTCCAAAGTCACGCAGCTTCTAAGTAGCACAGATGGGATTCTAACCATCAGACCTTAGCACACCAACTCAACCTCGCTGCTGTAACAGGGAATGCAACCTCAATGCCGCACTGACAGGTATCTTTTGAGCATCTACTGAATGGCCAGGCTCCATGATAGGTGTTAACAAAACAAGTGGTATAAAAAGCACATAGGGTCTCTGAGACCATGGAGCTTTCAGGTTGATGGGGAAGACAGGCAGGCAGTCCCAGATGAGCAATGAACAACGATGGAATTACAAGCAGTTAAGAGCTGGGAAGAAAAAGTACAGCTCCCAGAGACCTGGGTGTGAAGGGCGAAGGGCAGCTTCAGGGTCAGATATTTAAACTGAGCCCTGCCGGAGGCCTCAGATAGGCCAAGAGGGAAGGAAAGAATCTAAGACTGTTCCCAGCAGAGGAAGTGGCCTGTGCAGAGATTCTGAGGCAAGCAGTACTGAGCACTTCAGCCTGATCAAGGAACAGAGAATGCTGGAGTGGCTCGAGCAGAGTAAGTTAGTGCAGTTGGGACAATGAGGTCAGAGGGAGGTGGGCAGAGCCACCAAGGAAACCTGTTTTACCCTGCATGTGATGGGAAAGAGCCTGAAGGGTTAGAAAGGGAAAGCCGTGGTCAGATTTGCATTTTAAATACAAGGTCTACATGCCTATCACTCTGGCTACCTGAGGGATGGCCTAAGGGGATTCTGGGGGAATAGATTGTGCTAGTCAGTGGCTCTAGTGGCTATAGTCAGTGGGGGAGATGACAGAGCCAGCTCCAGAAAAGCAGGGAGATGTGTTCTGGAGGCGGGGTTGGCAAGCTGGGTGATAGATTGCACATGGGGATGAGTGGACAACAGAGGGAACTCCCACACCCAGCAGACTGAGGGGGCCCTTCACAAGGGGGAAGGGGGACATCAGGAGTCCCTTTGGACATGCTGGGTTCCAGGCATCTCCTTGTATCAAGTCAACTGGACACATAGGTCTGAGCTGGAGATTCAAATGTGGGAAGAGGTGGCATATTGATGTTATTTAAAGCCAGGGAAGAGACGAAATTCCCTGAGAAGAAGGATTTACAAGACAGGGAGGCCTAAGAATTCAGAAGAATGCTACCATTTAGAGAGCAGCAGAAGACGGGAAGAGATGGCTCCCAGGACCTGCAGAGGTGAGGATGGAGAACGTTTCCAGGGGATGGAGAACAATACACAGATTAGAATGCTATTCCTATAAATGCAAATCTTGTCTTAACAGCTTGTGTCTGGATGAGACGGAACTGTCTCAGCTGTCTGTCAGAAGTGCCTGACGAGGTGGGGTCAAGCAGTGTTCTTTCATCTTATACATTTCTGAAGCCTTTGAAAGTAGGATCATATGTTACTGTTGAGTCTTTTTTTTTTTTTTTTTAAGAATGCATTGCTGTGTTGAATGCTGTTGAGAGGTCCAAAAGGACTAAGGAGTGTCCCCCAAGACCAGGTCTAAATGCATCAACATGGACAGCTCTTCAAAAACCACTGAGGCTGGGCCAGATGCGGTGGCTCATGCCTGTAATCACAGCACTTTGGGAGGCCGAGGTGGGTGAATCACTTGAGGTCAGGAGTTCAAGACCAGCCTTGTCAACATGATGAAACCCCTTTCTACTAAAAATACAAAAATAGGCTGGGCATGGTGGTATGTGCCTATAATCCCAGCTACTTAGGAGGCTGAGGTGGGAGAATCACTTGAACCCAGGAGGTGGAGGTTGCAGTGAGCCAAGATTGTGCCACTGCACTCCAGACTGGGCAACAGAGTGAGACTCCGTCTCACACACACAAAAAAAAACCCACTGAGTTTAAAGCAATTGTGGAATAGTACATACCACATGCCACAAGAACACCTTTTATATATTGTTACAAAATCACAAAATATTTGATATATATTTTGTAGATCATTTACATATTTTTTAAATACCATATATCCACCAAAACCATCCTAGTGATTATCTATGGAGACATAAAGCTGATGGCCTACTTTCTTTTTGGGTCAATGAATCAACCTGTTATTTGATATGTATTATAGTTCACGGTTCCTGTTTAAAGTGCTCACTGGATCCTGCAGATCACTGCAGATGTTAGTAAGAGAAAATCCTTTGGCGTAGTGACAGTGGAGGCTGGGAAGCAATGGCTTAAGGAAGGAATGATGAGGAAAAGAAAAAATGTGGGTGGACAGACGAGTGCAGACAACTCTGTTGAGTTTGGTCACACAAAGGGAGCAAGGGATTGGGCTGGAGGAGGATGTGGTGCCCAGCAAAGGCTTTTTAAGATGGGAGGATGCTGAGGGAGACGGCAAGAGAGGGCAATGACAGGGGCAGGAGAGATGACACAATGGTCCTTGGGCAGGTGGCTGTGTGGACCAGAGTCCCTGAACAAGCCATGGCCCTGGCACCTGTCCAAAGGATGTCTGTCTGCACATCCAGCCTTAGTTCACCCCAGGCCCTCGGTCAGTGTCCACTAGGGCACAACGCTGTTAAGCAAAGCCACCCGCTGTGGCCGACCAGAAGAGGGCAGCCTTGCTCTTCCAAGAAAAGCTGTAAGTCCCAGGCGCTACCTCCAGAAGCGTACCAAAGGGTCTGCATGATCCCATCGCAGGGAGGGGGCTTAGGCCTCCCCTAGCCCCTGCAGTTGGCTGTGGGCATCCATCACTGGCTGAATCCCAGCTCCGCTATCCTCTCCCCAAGGACCTTGGAAAAGGCAGAGTCCGAGGCGACTCAGCAGGACTCAAGCTGCCACCACCCAGGTATGGAACCTCCATCCCTCCTTTCCTGATACATTAAATATGTCCTCAGCAGGGTATGGTCAGAATCTCCGTAAAAAAAAAAATAATAATAATTACCTCACGAGGCTGCTGCAAGAATAAAATGAGATCATGTACAGAAAACACTTGGCAAAGTGCCTGGCATAACAGATGCACTCGGCAAAGGGCAGATGTTTCTCCAGTTCCCACTGTCATCAAGGTCTCTCTAAGCCTTAACACCCCACAACTCTGCCCTTTCTGCCAGAGAACGAAGTGCCTCCCCCTGGGGTTTCTGAAGCAGAAAACTTTAGGCAGTGGGGTTTGGTCCTGTTCTTCACCTAGACCTGGACTGAGAGGATTCTGTTCCTTCTCACCCCACGTGGAGGCCAGGGACACTGCAGGAAGAAGCGGGAAGTGCTTCTGCTACCCACAGACAGCCAACCCCACAGTGTCCTCAACTGTAGAACAGTCGTCTCTTACCCTGTGTACCTCACAGGGCTTCATGGAAGATGTGCATGAAACGAGGTGTGCAAAGCACGAAGTAACCCAAAGACAAGGGGAAGCACCTCGTCTACCATGAAAGGCATTAACATCGAGTCCCTGCTGCAAGTTACCCTGCTCGTTCTGACCATCCCAGCCGGGTGCACACTTCTCCCCAACCTGGAGTTGCTCTTACACTGTCATCCTGCCCAGGACTCCAGGAGTCTTTTCTAGAACTCTCCTCACAACATCCAGCCATATGACACAACCATTATTAACCACCAAGAAAATGGTGCTAATGACAATATCACAAACTAGTGCCCACCAGACTTGCTCCCACCTCAGGGCCTCTGCACTTGCTGTTCCTGCTGCCTGAAACGCCCTTCCCCTAGTTATCCACCTGGCTTGATCCCTTGGCTCTTTCGGGTCTGTATTCAAGTCTCAGTGAAGTGTTCCTTGGCCAAACCATCTAAAAGTGCAATCCGCTCTCCCAGCATTCCTTACTTCCCTTTCCTGCATTTTCTCCACAGCACTTTCCATCTAAAATACTAAATATTTTCATAATTTCATCTGTTTTTTCGTAAACAAGCTCCATGAGGGAAGGGCTTTGGTTGTTTTATTTTGTTCATTGCCAAATCCCCACCTAGAACAGCACTTGGCCTCAGAGGAGATAACCAATTAATATTTGCTGAATCAATAAATGAGATAGTTTCAAAGCTCTACTTAGTTGAAATATAGCTTAAAGGCTTTTATCTAGCAAGGACAGAGTGGAAATAGATAAACTAAGCATTCAACTCAAAGACAGTTCTGCCCAGCACAGTCACTACCACATTGCAGGAGTTCAATGGACACTGAATGACAGTACATAAGCAAAGTTCATCTAAAATGGGCATGCGCGGTGCCTCACACCTATAATCCCAGCACTTTGGGAAGCTGAGGTGGACAGATCACTTGAGGTCAGGAGTTTGAGACCAGCCTGGCCAACACGGTGAAACCCCATCTCTACTAAAAACACAAAAAAAAATTAGCTGGGTGTGGTGGTGTGCGCCTGTAATCCCAGCTGCTTGGGAAGCTGAGGGCAGGACAGTTGCTTGGACCCAGGAGGTAGAGGTTGCAGTGAGCCAAGATCACGCCGCTATACTCCAGCCTGGGCAACAAGGCAAGACTCCGCCTCAAAAGAAAGAAATCTAAAGGGCGAAGGAGGGAATGAAGACAACAGCAGAAATCAAATTAGAAAGACAGAATTGGTGGCAACAACAAAACTACAAGGACTAGTTAAGAAAATATACCGTCACACATTGTTATTATAAAAGGAAAAAACAACAGTATGGAGATGGTTTTGTTTTGTTTTAATTAGAAGAACACCATGTTTAGCTTTGTGCCAAACAAATTTGCAAATATCCATTAAAAAGATGAGCCTTCTACCAGGACACACAAGATTCTAATTTGGAACTTCAAGGCTGACAAATTCCATGCTCGTTTCTCCCTCCCTTATCCCTTGAGACCCCTCCTGAGTGGGCGGTCTTCCCAGAGGGCAAGGGCCAACTGCAGGTACCTCCTGCTCCCCAGAGCCCACCTGCACTAGCCTGGCCATGTGTGTGTTCAGTGGGCATGGAGGGTCAGTGCACCTTGGGGGAGGGGCTCACCTTGTTGGCACAGCTGAAGCCCAGCCCCAGCTGGGCCAGGACCTTCAGCACACCTGGGCTGCTGTTGCACTTGACAACGTAAAAGGGCTGGACTCGTGGCAGGCACTTCAGAAAGTAGAAGTGCTTCCTCACTATGGCACCCAGGTCAGCCACGAAGAAGGCAGCGGCCTTGTCCTGAACAAGAAGTGGATAAATGTGAGACCCCATCCAGCTCCTACCCCTGCATGCCATCCATGATCCTTCCAAGTACCTGTCTCAGGTTCAGTACTGGCCAGAGCTACCCTGCTGTAAAGTTTTCTGGGCCTCCCCAAGCCTACAGGACAGAAGGCAAACTCAGCCTGGCATTCAAGGTTCTGCGATCTAGCTCCAGCCCCTCCCCTCAATGCAGCTAAAACTCCAGCTGTAGGCTGGATCATTTTTCCACCTTCGAACCTTTGTTCCCACCATGCCCTCTGCAGAATACCCTTCCCCCTCCTGTGTCTGGCAAAATCCTTAAAGTTTCAGCTCAAATGCCACCTTTTCCAAACCAACAAGGCAACTCTGCTTTTAAATGCTTCCATGGCATTTTGGATGTGCTTCCAAGGAATCAGAACTGTATATGGATCCATCCATTCTAGAAAAGGGTAAACTCCCTAAAGGCAGAAGCTATGACCTACAGCTCACTGCCTTCCAAACACAGGTGCTCGATGAAGCCTTAAGCTAGTCCCACGGACACTGCAACCTATGCCTATGGACGAGTGTTCATTACAGATGTGCTAAAGGCTGAACATGTATGAGGCTGTGGGCGAGACCACATTACTTAAATGTGGAAGGGATCCTTCCAAAGTCCCTTCCCTGGGACTCAGTTTCCCTTTCATGCAACACTTTTTTACTGATGCCCACTTGGTGCCAAACATTGCACTAAGGGACAGAGGTGACCAAACCGCACTGTTGCTCTGAAGGAGCTTGGGTCTGGAAGAAAAGGAAGCCCTTAAGTACTTACAAGTCCATTCAGTGGATGCTAGATGGAAGTTTCTACAAGGTGCAGTGCGGGGACATGGAGAAAGAAAATACAAAATCTGCCTGGGTTGAGCAGGAAAAGGTAGCACTGATGAGAAGCAAGGAATAACTAGAAAGGGGTAAAGAGGGGAGAGGTTGGGAGAAGGATGCTGCAGGCAGAAGAAACAGCCTGGGCAAAGGCATGGTAATAGGGCCCGTGGCATCATTGGGAAATGTGAATAGAGTCCTTCAGCTCTGATGGAGCATAATATATACTTTGGGGAAAGCTGGGAATGGGGCTTTGGAGGCAGGGAAATTCTGACTTGATCCTGTAGAGTGAGGAATTGCCAAAGAATTCTGATTTTGAACAGAACTATGATATATTTGGAGGGGGTGGCATGAGACAGGGAGGAGATTGGGGGGCCTTTGGAGAGATGAAGACTGAACTAGTAAATGAGGTTCCACATAACCACACTGGAGGGTTATTTAAGGAGGCAGAATTCACAGAGCTTGGTAATGCCTAGATGTGGACAGTGAGGGAGACGGGGCAGCTGGAGAAGAATCCCCGGCTTCTGACTTTGGAGGGCTGGGTAGAAAGGCAACATAGGAGGGGCAGGTTTGGGGGCAAGGACCAGGAATTGGAGATAAATTGAGATGTTCCCTTGCAAATAGCAAGGATTGGGTACCAAATAAGTGAAAGGATAAGAGAAGGCCCTAGGGACCCTTCCACAGGAGGCAGGTGATCTGTATAGGGGACCGCGGACCCAACCCATTCCCAGTCCCTCACCGTGGTGGCCTGTGAGGCCCCCAGAGTGAGTTCCTCCAGCAGGTCTTGGGTACTGAAGCCCTCCTCCACCATCACAAAGTCCGATTCACTCAGGTAGCCAGCCATGCCTTGGCAGGAGGAGCTGACGCGTTGGATGGAGCCGCTGCTGCAGCCGCCGCCTTAAAAAGTATGCAACACACTGCGGGAGGGGGAGATGGAGGGAACCGCTGGGGGGTCGGCTCCGCTGCCCCCCGCCCAGGCCAAGGATCCCAACTCCGTCACAACCCGCCCCCAGCACAAGCCTGGAGTTCACTAGGCAAGGGTGGAGAAAGTCAAGAATCCCGGATTTCAGACCGAGACAAGGCACCGTATGCCCAAATGTCACTGCCTCTCTGAGTCAGTTGCCCCATCTGTAAAATGGATGAATTGTTTTGAAGAGCCTTTCCAGTTCTGAAATTCTGGATTTCAGGAAAGAGTGAAAGAGTGAGAGGGGGGACAGGAAATCTGAGAAGCTTGGGTGGGAAAGTTTCCAGGCACCCCCGTCCTGACCACGTCCACCTAGAAGGTAGTCGGTGGCCACCCCAGGGAGTAGTCTCAGCCTGAGAACGGGAGCTTAAGTTCGAGTCCACTCTCTACTGCTAGACCTTGGGTACGCTCTGACCCTTCTCGGGGCCTCAGTTTCCCCACTTGTAAATGGGGGCTGGACTAATCCTGGACATGCCAGAATTCTAAGGGTGCCTGGGGGCACCACGTGGTGGGTGGGGCCGCCAGCTCCCGGGAGAGAACAGAGGGCCGAGGTTCTTTCTGTCCCGGTGACTCCTCCCAACTGTAGGGCCGAGGTCCACCCCATCCCCCAGGACCCCTTACCAAGCTCCGTCCTCCTTCGCGGGGGCCAGAGCCAGGCGCGCTGCTAGGGGGGGTCGCCGGTGACCTCGAAACTTGTGCAACACTCCGAGGAGGAGTGGCAGTTGCGGAGCCGAGGCCCCTGCTGAGAGGAGGCAGAAGGGGCCAGCGGGCAGGTCAGCACCACAGCGGGGAGCGTCCGCTCCCCGAGGCTCCCCAGGCCACTCCCCGCACTCGCCTTAAAACGCATTTACACGGCTTCGGCCCATAGGTCTCCCCAGCGAGTGAATCGGATCCTCCGCGCCTCCGCTCTCTCGCTCCCCCGGGCTCGGGCCCCGCGGCCTGCGCCCCGCCCGCCCAGCGAACACCGACCCCACGCCCCGCCTTCCACCCGCCGCTCACTTATATAGCCCCGCCCAGGCCCCGCCCACATGGTCCAGGCCCCGCCTTAGCCCTGGCAACCAGGTGCCGCCATCCCATTGGTCGATTCCGACATAAAGCCCTCAGCTCTGCCCACCCGTGCTGCAGTCTTCCCCCCCGCCCCGACGACGCCTAGCGGTGGCTACCCCACGCTGGGAAATCGAACTGCAGGGTCACCGCCACACGGGTGGGACACTTAGACCTTGCATCTTAGGTCTTAAAAAGTGGGCAGGAAGCCTTTTCTGCCACTGCCTTACTTCGTGGTACCACTCTTCTCTCCTGCGGGAACTGCTCACTCATCTCTCAAAACCCAGTTCAAGTGTTATGTCCTTGTATTGCTTTTATAATAAAATTCTTTTAATTTAATTGCCTCTTCCAGGCATCTTCGACTCCAACTCAAACCGCAGCTAAAATGTCTTCAGACAGCGTTTTTGTGACTTTCCCAGTTCAGGGCAATCCCTCCCTTTATCCCATCCTCTGAACCCGGCAAACTCTTACCTCTCAAGGGAAATGTGTCTCCCTCTCCAAGAAGCTTTCTCTGACTTCCTCAACTCAAAGCATTTCTTCCATACCAACAAGCTGCTGCTCACCCATTAAAGTCCAGTATAATGTCACCTCCTCCGTTGAACCTTCCGTGACTTGCCTGGCCCTAAGGAACACAGCACTTTGTCTGGACTCCTCACTCACTTGGTTCTTGTTACCCTAGCGTGAGATTGCTGTTGTTATTTTACACTTCTTCTTTGGTTACACTTTGCAACTAGTTTGTGATTTCCCAAGGGCAGGGACTGAATACCCTGCTCAAGTGCCTGGTGCCTGGCACAAACAAGAGTGTGCAAGAAGATTCAGTGTAATCCTGGCACTTTGGGAGACCGAGATGGGCAGATTACCTGAGGTCAGGAGTTTGAGACCAGCCTGGCCAACATGGCAAAACACTGTCTCACAAAAAATACAAAAATTAGCCAGATGTGGTGGCACACATCTGTAATTCCAGCTACTTGGGAGGCTGAGGCAGGAGAATCACTTTAACCCGGGAGATGGAGGTTGCAGTGAGCCGAGATCACACCACTGCACTACAGCCTGGGCAACAGAGGGAGACTCCGTCTTTTTTTATTCAATAGCTATGTTACTCAAAAGCTGAATCAAAGTTCATCTGGAAAAGAACAGTCAAGACATTCCTGGAAAAAAAGAAAGAGGACTTCCTCTATCATATCAAAATTTTAAAATAAAGCTATAGTCTTAAACTGTGGTGCTGGAGCAGGAAGAGACAGTGCTAGAACAAAACAGTCTAGAACAGTTCCATACACATTAGAGACTGGTACACAATGAAGGCAGCATTTCAAATCAATGAAGCCAGAGGGCTTTTGATCTACCATATGTCTCCATGTCCCTTGCTAAGCTGCAGGCTTTTCTTTTTTTTTTTTCTTTTGAGACAGGGTCTGGCTCTGTCACCCAGGCTGGAGTACAGTGGCATGACTTTGGTTCACTGCAACTTCCGCCTCCCAGGCTCAAGTGATCCTCCAACCTCGGCCTCCCAAGTAGCTGAGACTACAGGTACATGCCACCATGCCTTGCTAATTTTTGTATTTTTTGTAGAGACAGAGTTTCGCCATGTTGCCCAGGCTGGTCTCAAACTCCTGAGTTCTAACAATCTGCCTGCCTCATCCTCCCAAAGTGCTGGAATTACAGGCATGAGCCACCACACCCAGCAGACTGTAGACATTTTTTTTTTTTTTTTTTTTTTTTTTTTTTTTTTGAGACAGAGTGTCGCTCTTGTTACCCAGGCTGGAGTGCAATGGCACGATCTCGGCTCACCGCAACCTCCGCCTCCTGGGTTCAAGCAATTCTCCTGCCTCAGCCTCCTGAGTAGCTGGGACTACAGGCACGCGCCACCATGCCCAGCTAATTTTTTGTATTTTTAGTAGAGACGGGGTTTCACCACGTTGACCAGGATGGTCTCGATCTCTCGACCTCGTGATCCACCCGCCTCGGCCTCCCAAAGTGCTGGGATTACAGGCTTGAGCCACCGCGCCCGGCCGACTGTAGACATTTTTTAAAATCAGAGGCACTTCTTGTCTTGCCTTAGGATCTCTCTGGCACACTCTGTACAACCTAGTTAGAATATGCTCAGTACACAGATGGTACAGGGCAGGGACCAGAGGCAGGGAGAACCATTTTCTGCTCCCTACCCAACTGGGACATATAATTGATGGGTGTCCTTGACTGCGTCACCCCAACTGGATCTGGGTCACTTCTGCCTGGCTTGATTTCCCCCTGTGAACTGAGAGGTTTCAAACTGATTTTTCTGGGCCCTTCTGCCTGGAACCTTCTTGTTTTCTATGCAGAGGAGTAGCATTTCAGGAGGCAGCTTTATAGGTCTGTCATTTGCAGGCCCATTCTTTGAGATTAGTAGTCATTTGCAACATAGTATGAGAACAAGTATCTACCAATCAGGAAAGGGTAGATCAGGACGGCCATTGCAGGAACCTGAAAAGATTAGACTGAAAGGAGGGAAGAGCACCCGAATAACTTTGGCTCTACTTTTGGCTTAATCATTCTTTGAGCTGGCTGCACTTGGATGTCATGATCTGGGTCTGCCCCACCAGCTTTTTCCATCACCTAGTAGACACGTTATGCTTATTGAATGAATCAATAGAGGTATGAAACAAAGGAACCAGAATCCAGTGTGTGCATTTGGAATCTATCAAGAGTAAGTACTCAGACCAGAAAAATCTGCATCCTGGACTGGGTACAGATAGGCTGTGGCTTTTTCTTTTTCCCTGCTTGTTATGTGATGTCATTGAAATTCCATGACAACCCTATGTCACAAGAGCTACAATTGTTCTCATTTTACAAATGAGGAATATGAAGCTCAGAAAAGTTCAGTAACTTGCCAGGATCACAAAGCAAGTGAAGGTGGAGACTAGATGTAAATCCAAGCCAATCCTGACCTTTATGCTTGACTGCTAATCAGTGGCTGGGAATTCTGTCCCCAGCTCAATAAAAGCTACACACATCCTGCCAGCAGCCAACCCAAAGGCCGGTGGCTTCTCTTCTGCTGGTCTCTCTTACTACTGCCGTCTTAGCATCTATGATTGCTCTGCTGAGCCCTGAAGCAGGATAAAAAGCTTCTGATTTCTAGTCAGAATCATGTCAGCCAATTCAATCTATTATTCATAAACCAAGAGGAATCGTAGTCACAAACGTTGCGATAATAAAAATGTCTTATTAGTACATAGAACTGGAGAGTTTGAAAAATACTTTCCTGTTCATCATTTTATTCAGGCTTCCCAAAATTCCACCGGTATTAATTTCTTAGGGATGCCGTAACAAAGCTCCAAAACCGAGTGGCTTAAAATAACAGAAATGTCTTGTCTCCTAGTTATGAAGGCTAGGAGTCAGAAGTCAAGAAGTTGGCAGGGCCATGCTCTCTCTGGTGGCTCTAGGAGAGAGTACTTCCCTGCTTCTTCTAGCCTGTGGTGTCAGCTGGCAATCCTTGGTATTCTTGGCTCATAATGCGTCACTCCAGTCACATGGTTTCCTTCTCCCTGTCCTCATATGATCTTCCCTCTATATGTATTTGTCTCTGGGTCCAAATTTCCCCTTTTAATAAACACGCTTATCATATTGGATTAGGGCCCACCCTAATGACCTCATTTTAACTTGATTATCTCTGTAAAGTCCTGTTTCCAAATAAGGTCACACTCTGTGGTACTGGGGTTAGGACTTAAAAATGACTGTTTACAGGGACACAATTCAACCCATAACACCACCAAACACTTCTTTTTATGTAATTGAACAATATGTAGATCCATGATGACACCTAGTTGTGAAGGAAGTGGGAAGACATAGTCTTTAATTGGGTACATTGCTGTTCCTCTTACCCCCCAATAAAGTCAAAATACTAAAGAAGACAGGAAGAATGCATATTTTATAGCAACTAGTAGGGAAGATTATTTCTCCCTTTTAGAGATCAGTATACCGCCAGTGTGGCAGCTCACGCCTGTAATCACTAACACTTTGGGAGGCCCAGGCAGGTGGATCACTTGAGGTCAGGAGTTCAAGACCATCCTGGCCAACATGGTGAAACCCCATCTCTACTAAAAATACAAAAAATTAGTCGAGCATGGTGTTAGATGCCTGTAATCCCAGGTACTGGGGAGGCTGAGGCAGGAGAATCACTTGAACCCAGGAAGTGGAGGTTGCAGTGCGAGGAGATTGCACCACTGCACTCCAGCCTGGGCAAAAGAGTGAGACTCCACCTCTAAAAAAATAAAGAAATAAATAGCCAAGCGCAGTGGCTCATGCCTGTAATTCCAGCACTTTGGGAGGCTGAAGTGGGTGGATCACAAGCTCAAAAGATCAAGATCATCCTGGCCAACATAGTGAAATCCCTGTCTCTACTAAAAATTCAAAAACTAGCTGGGCATGGTGCCACATGCCTGTAGTCCCAGCTACTCGGAAGGCTGAGGCAGGAGGATCACTTGAACCTGGGAGGCAGAGGTCATAGTAAGCAGAGATCGCACCACTGTACTCCAGCCTGGGCAACAGAGTAAGACTTCATCTTAAAAAAAAGAAAAAAAGATCAGTATACCAGTTGCTATGGTTTGAATGTGTCTCTCAAAAAGCTTGGGTTGTAATTTAACACCCAATGCAACAGTGTTGGGAAGTAGGGCCTAACGGGAGGTGTTTAGGTCATGAGGGCTCCACCACCATAAATGGACTAATGCCAATTATAAAAGGGCTTGAGTCTGTGAGTTCAACCTCTTGTTCTCTCTTTCCCTCTCCTGCCCTCTCCACCACCTTCCACCATGAAATTATGCAGCAAGAAGGCCTCCACTAAATGCAGCGCCTCGGTCTTGGACTTCCCAGCCTCCAGAACCATGAAGCATTCTGTTTATTATAAATTACATAGTCTCAGGTATTCTGGTTCAGCAGCACAAAATGGACTAAGACACCAGTTCAGAATGATTATGGAATTT